CAATTATGTGTCTTGGAGTTGCTCTTCTCGAGGAGTATCTTTGTGGCGTTCTCTGAATTTGAATGTTGGCCTGCCTTATTAGGTTGGGGTAGTTCTCCTGGATGATATCCGGCAGAGTGTTTTCCAGCTTGGTTCCATTTTCTCCAACCCTTTCAGGCACACCATTCAGACATAGATTTGGTCTTTTCACATAATCCCATATTTCTTGCAGGCTTTGTTCATTTCTTTTCACCCTTTTTTCTCTACACTTCTCTTCTTGCTTCATTTCATTCATTTGATCTTCAGTCACTGATACTCTTTCTTCCAGTTGATCGAGTCGGTTACTGAAGCTTGTGCATTTGTCACGTAGTTCTCGTGTCATGGTTTTCATCTCTATCAGTTCTTTTAAGATCTTCTCTGCATTGATTATTCTAGTTATCCATTCATCCATTCCTTTTTCAAGGTTTTTGGTTTCTTCGCGCTGGTTACATAGTTCCTCCTTTAGCTCTGAGAAGATCAACTGAAGCCTTCTTCTCTCAATTCGTCAAAGTCATTCTCCATCCAGCTTTGTTCCGTTTTTGGCGATGAGCTGCGTTCCTTTGGAGGGGGAGATGCGCTCTGATTTTTTGAATTTCTAGCTTTTCTGCACTGCTTTTTCCCCATCTTTGTGGTTTTTCTCTGCCTTTGGTCTTTGATGATGGTGACGTACTGATGGGGTTTTGGTGTGGGTGTCCTTTCTGTTTGTTAGTTTTCCTTCTGACAGTCAGGACCCTCAGCTTTAGGTCTGTTGGAGTTTGCTTGAGGTCCACTCTGGACCCTGTTTGCCTGGGTATCAGCAGCGGAGGCTGCAGAAGATAGAATATTGCTGAACAGTGAGTGTTGCTGTCTGATTCTTGCTCTGGAAACTTCGTCTCAGGGGTGTACCCAGCCGTGAGAGGTATGAGGTGTCGGTCTGCACCTAGTGGGGGATATCTCCCAGTTAGGCTTCTCAGGGGTCAGGACCCACTTGAGCAGGCAGTCTGTTCATTCTCAGATCTCAGCCTCCGTACTGGGAGAACCACTGCTCTCTTCAAAGCTGTCAGACAGAGACATTTACATCTGCAGAGGTTTCTGCTGCTTTTTGTTTAACTATGCCCTGTCCCCAGAGGTGGAGTCTACAGAAGCAGGCAGGCCTCCTTGAGCTGTGGTGTGGGCTCCACTCAATTCGAGCTTCCCAGTGGCTTTGTTCACCTACTTAGGCCTCAGCAATGGCGGGTGTCCCTTCCCCAGCCTCGCTGCTGCCTTGCGGTTAGATCTCAGACTGCTGTGCTAGCAATGAGGGAGGCTCTGTGGGCGTGGGACCCTATGGGCTAGGTGTGGGGTATAATCTCCTGGTGTGCCGTTTGCTAAGACCCTTGGTAAAGCGCAGTATTAGGGTGGGAGTTACCCGATTTTCCAGGTGTTGTGTGTCTCAATTTCCTTTGGCTAGGAAAAGGAATTCCCTTCCCCTTGCACTTCCCCGGTGAGGCGATGCCTCGCCCTGTTTCATCTCTCGCTGGTTGGGCTGCACCCGCGGACTAGCATTGACTGTCTGACACGCCCCAGTGAGATGAACCTGGTACCTCAGTTGAAAATGCAGAAATCACCTGTCTTCTGTGTCGCTCACGCTGGGAACTGGAAGCTGGAGCTGTTCCTATTCAGCCATTGGGCGCCCCCACTATTTTACATTTTTACCAGCAGTGCACAAGAGTTCCAATTTCTCCTTATCCTTGCCAATACTTGTTTTGTTTTTTTGATGATAGCCATCTTAATGGGTATGTGAAGTGGTATCTCACTGTAGTTTTGATTTGCATTTTCCTAATGATTAGTGATGTTGAGTGTCTTTTCATGTGCTTATTGGCCATTCATATATCTTCTTTGGAGAAATGTTTGTTCAGGTCCTGTGCCTGTTTTTAAATTGGGTTGTTTGGTTTTTTTGTTTGAATTTTAGGAGTTCTTATATTCTGTAAACTAACCGCCTAATCAGATACATGATTTGCAAATATTTTCTTATATTCTGTAGGTTGCCTTTTCATTCTGTTGATGACATTTGATGCACAAAAGTGTTTAATTTTGATGTTTAATCTATTTTTTCTTTTATTGCCTATGCTTTTGGTGACAGTATTACATTTTTAAAGTGCTATACTTTGGGTGTGTTTAAATTTGGAGTGGGAGGGCATTTGTAATTTTATCTTTGTGGCATTACAATCATTTCTTACTATATAATCTGTTTAGTTCCTCAGTTTGTGGAGCAAAGACTACCACATGATTTGGATTTTATTTGTATCCTGAGTTTCATAGATCAAGTAGTGAGTTTAGATACTTACTGAGGGATTTAAATGAAAGTGTATCCAAATTTATTTAGTTGGTTAAATTGGGATAATGTTTAATGTATTTGCTAAATATATTTAACATTTTTCTGCTATTGAACTTATAAGCTCAAAAGTCAACATATATAATACCTTATACTGACTTATTGAGCTTAAAAACAAATAGATGTCTGGATGTCATCTTAAACTCTAGGACCTGTTATTTCTAATATTCTGTTTTCAATTTCCATTTCTGCATTACAAAACAATTTTATTTTACCTATCTCAAAATGACTTCTAAGCAACTCTGTTAATAACCTACCAGACTTAGTCATTTGGCTAGGATATGTTTGGTGAAATTGCATCTGTCATTTTATTATGTCTTTGTTTTTATTTTGATAGGTCACCCAGTTGACAGGTTTCTCAGATCCTGTATATGCAGAAGCTTACGTTCACGTCAACCAATATGATATTGTCCTGGATGTACTCGTTGTGAACCAAACCAGTGATACTTTGCAGAATTGCACATTAGAATTAGCTACACTAGGTGAGGAAATTTACCATTCAGGAAAGAGATTGTCACATAGTAGATCTTTATGACAGATTAAGGGAGGTGCACAGGTTTCAGAATAAAAATTCTCTCTTGAACCTTTTCTGACATTTTGAATCAAAGCTTAGTTTTTCATTTATCATTTAGTTCCCTTAAACTCCAGTTTTCTGAACCTCTTGTCATACTGACTTTTTTATGCTCTTGGCACATTCAGATGGATTCATTTAATAAGCTTAATATAGCAAACGTCAGTATTTCTAGATATCGTACAAGCTGTTTAAGTCACAGATTGACCAGGTAGCTCACTTAGTTTATTTCTAATTGCTTCATTACAGAACTAAGTTATTTTCTGAATGCATAACTGTTAAATACCACATGTGACCAAAGTAATAAATCATATCACATTTAGCAATATGAGATGTATTTTTTTTCTTAATAAAGACACATGAGTCAGACGGCTTACCTCCACATTTGGTTTTGAAGTTGGAAAATACAAAATTGTATATGGGAACAGTGCAGTACCCCCATCAGATTTCATATGGCTTATGCAAGAGTTAAGGAACTTCAAGATATCAAGGGGAAAACATACTTTTGCCCTGTTGTCCTCAGCATAGCTTGATGGCTGTATAAAAAAACATGTTTCTTAAGCATTTACAAGTCTTTTTGCAGATTGTTTTATCTTTCTTTATAATGAAATGTATAGTTTAAGACTTAAGCTTTTTGAGAAGTTTGCATTCATTCATTGAAATAAAATGACCCCAATCTCTACAAAAAAATCAAGAAAATTAGCCAGGTGTGGTGGGCCACTCCTGTAGTCCCAACTCCTCAGGAGGCTGAGGTAGGAGGATTGCTTGAGCCTGGAAGATCAGGGCTGTAGTGAGCTATGATCATGCAGTTGCACTCCAGCCTAGGTAACAAAGCATGACCCTATCTCAAAATAAATAAATAAATGGTAGGCTCAAAGTATCCTCCCTTCCCACAAATTAAATATGGAATTACTCCGAGATGCCTATTACCTTTTAAAAGAAAATATGCGTATTGATAGTGAATAATAAAGATGGTTAAGTGGTTTCTTTATTTTGTCCTCATTATATTTGACACTCATACTCTTCTCATATTTGTCCTTATTTTCCTAGAAACTATTAAGCTGCATACATTTAAGGTTTTATGGTTAATGTGTGTGTGCGTGTGTGTGTGTGTGTGTGTGTGTGTATGTTTTTTTTTTAACCATATCCCAACTCTTTCAGGGGATCTGAAACTTGTGGAAAAGCCATCTCCTTTGACTCTTGCTCCTCATGATTTCGCAAATATTAAAGCTAACGTCAAAGTAGCATCAACAGAAAATGGAATAATTTTTGGTAATATAGGTAAGGTGCTGTTTTATGGCATGTAATGGTTGAATATTTTTACTGAAGAATTTCTATAGTGAGTAGCTGGGGACATTGTATGAGGAGAGGATCTAAATCCATTTATTCATAATTTATGAGACACTTTCTATGGTACCAGGCATTGTACTATGTTCTGGATGTACAGAAATGAACCAGATAGGGTCACTGTCCTCAAGAAACTGTTAGGCAAAAGGAGGAGCTAGCTAAGGCAATATATAATTGTAGTCCAATGCAATACAGGATGGTTTATATACTGTATGCTTTGAGGTTAAGGAAAAAAAATGCTAACAGTGTGGAAGGCTTTATAAAGGGAGATGGTATGTTATCAAAGGATAATATTTTACCTGAGTCATTTGTTGCTAGACACACAAGGGCATCTCAGACCTAGGGATTAGCTTATATAGAGTCATTCAGTCAATAAGCTTATTTTATTGCAGTTTCTGTCATAAGGATAGGGCTACCATGTTGAGGAACAAATGAGAGATTATGGTCGAGTAAGGGAAAACAGATACATAAAATAAATATGTGCAATATGTAATGGTAAGTGCTGTGAAAAAAATAAGTATACCTGTACTAAGTAAGGTAGGAATCCATAAAGGGATTTGGTCAGTTCTCAGAGTGGTGGGTGATTGGGAGAAAAGGTTAGAAAAGGCTTCATGGAGGAGCAAGTACTCAGTAGAAGACTACAGATAGACAAGGATGCAGTTAGAACAAATGCAAAATGATTTGATATACTTGGAGTTCAGAGTGGGTTGGAGGATGATGGCGGAAAAAAAAATGAAGTTCGGAAGGTTAGTGGGAGCCATATTTTACTTGTCATGCTAAGGATTTCAGATTTTATCTGTGGAGAGAGGAAACATTGAGGAATTACAAATGAATGACTTATACCTTATATCTTTTTGCGACAGTACTATAGAAGATTGACTGGAAGAGGCAGGAAGATTAATTAGTAGACTATTATAGAAGCCCAAGTGAGAGATGACAGAGGACTTGAGCCAACACAGTAGTGGAATGGAGAGAAGGACGAATATAACGTTAAAGATAAGGTTAATGATTGAAGAGGAAGTGGCTAGAGTAACCCTCAGATTTCCAGATTGGGTTTATTGGGTTGTTTATGTCATCACCAAAACAGGAAATTCAGGAGAGATGAACAAACTTTAGAGAGACATAATAGGTTAAATCTTGAGCAGGTTCGGTATTTAAAGTGTCTAAAGATATTCAGGGACAGTTTGATGTGAGTCTGGGACACGAACAAGAGGTCTAAACTAGAGATAGGCTAGGTGTGGTGGCTCATGCCTGTGATCCCAGCATTTTGGGAGATGGAGGCAGGCGGATTACCTGAGATCAGGAGTTCCAAGACCAGCCTGGCCAACATGGCGAAACCCCGTCTCTACTAAAAATACAAAATTAATTGGGCATAGTGGTGCACGCCTGTAGTCCCAGCTAACTCGGGAGGCTGAGGCAGGAGAATAGCTTGAACCCATGAGACAGGTTCAGTGAGCCAATATCGCACCACTGCACTCCAGCCTAGACAACAGAGTAAGACTCCGTCTCAAAAATAAATAAGTAAAAATAAACTAGAGATAAGTATTTGTTTAAAAGCCATAGGAATAGAAGAAATCACCTGGAGAGAGCATAAAGACTAAAAAGAGGGGAGATACGAAAACAGAATCCAAGCAAACAGCAACACTGAAAGCTTGGTCAAAGGAGAATCGCCTACAAAGGTATCTGAAGTGTGGTTAGAAAAGTAAGGAGAAACCTGAAGCTCCACAAGGTAAAATAACTTTAGTTATTAGAGTCTGAAAGAGAGGTCCTTTGGTTTTGGCTATTAGTGATTTTAAAACATTTCTTGTGGGACATCTTGGTCATTGGTGGTAGGTTGAAGACTAAATACGACATGAAGAAATACAGGTAGTGTAGACTATTCTGAGTGTAGGAACTTGGCTTTGATAGAAAAAAGAAAGGGCAGTACCAAGAAGAGAAGGCAAGAATGAGTGAGGATTTATTTTTTGAAGATAACAGAGAACCTCAAGTATATTTATAGACTATAAGGGAAGAAAGTTGGTAGAGAATGGGAAAGTAAAGACATAAGAATGAAAGAGATAATGATTGGAGTGGGGTCCTGGACCAAAGCAGGAATCACAGATGGCAGGAAGTATTAATCTTGAAGAAAAGAGGCAGTACTTCTCTGATACGTATGAGAGGGAAGGATATGAGAGTGGATTCCAAGAGAGAGAGTTGTTTTTAGATGTGGGGCTGAAATTAAAGGAGCTTATTCTTGGTAGCCTCAGTTTTCTCTGAAAGAGTGTAAGAATGTCAAGAAAAGAGCCTAGAAAGAGGAATGTAGGCTCCAATCAGATTATAACTCTACTTTGGAAGAGATGGTCATAGAAGCAAATATAGTCAGCCTTCTGTATCCTATCCATGGGTTCCACATCCATGTCTTCAACCAGCCACGAACTAAAAATATTTAAGAAATAAAAATGGATGATTGTGTCTATACTGAACATATATAGACTTTTTTCCTTGTCATTATATCCTAAACAATACAGTATAACTATTTACGTAGCATTTATGTTGTATTAGGTACTATAAGTAAGCTAGAGATGATTTAAAATATATGAGAAGATGTGTATAGGTTATGCAAATATATGCCATTTAATATCAGGGACTTGAACATCTATAGATTTTGGTATCCATAGGGAGTCCTTGAAGCAATTCCCCATTAATACTGAGGGATGAGTAATCTTGTATCATTAAGTAGTGTGGGTCAGCAATATTTATTCAAAAGTATTAGTTAAGCACCTCCTATGGGAACATCATCTACTTGTATATCCACTGCAGTGCCTAGTATGCTGCAACTGCTATGTAAGTACTCACTGAATTGAATTATTTGTTTAACCACAAAAAACAAAGTGTGCCAGAGTTTGAATCCTATCCCCACCACTTATCAGTTATGTGGTCTGGAACAACTTACTTAACTTCTCTGTGCTTTCATGTCCTCTTATGTAAGATGGAAAATAATAATACTGTCAATAGAATTGATGGGAGTATTAAACAAGTAATATCTGGAAAGCATGCAGAATAGAGCACTGTACATAATAAGTATTATATAAACAATCTTATTGTTAATAGTGTAGTTATTTGGATATTTGGATATTAAGATTTTTTAAATTCAAGTTTGCCCCAGTGATTGCGAATCTTTTTGTATGTGTAATTGCAGTTTATGATGTCTCTGGAGCAGCAAGTGACAGAAATTGTGTGGTTCTCAGTGATATTCACATTGACATCATGGACTATATCCAGCCTGCAACTTGCACTGATGCAGAATTCCGTCAGATGTGGGCCGAATTTGAATGGGAGAACAAAGTTAGTCCTTGGGAGATTTTCTTATACTCCTTTATCTTTCTTCCTTTTGCCTGCTGTTGAGGAGTCTGCTAATAAAATTAATCTCGCTAAAAAGTGTTTAACATGAAAAGCAAATAGTCTTTCAGTATCTGTTCTTGCAAATTAGCCTTAACTAAAAATCATGTAAGTAGTTTGGTAATTTGCTGTTATAAATTGATTAGAGTAGCAGTTCTATAGCTAATCTGATAGGTTTAGACATTATAGATAATATTCCATCCCTTCTATGTATGACCAAGAGTTTACCATTTAATCTAGTGCCCAAAAAAGGCTTTACAAAGTTCATGGTCTGTTGAGGAGCCTTGACTTTTATTAGAAATATTCTATATGAGGCTGAGCACATATCATGCCTGTAATCCCATCACTTTGGGAGGTCAAGGCAGGGAGATTGCTCACGCTCAGGAGTTCTAGACCAGCCTGAGCAAAATGGTGAAACTCCATCTCTACAAAAAAGAACAAAAATTAGCCCAGTGTGGTGGTGCATGCCTGTAGTCCCAGCTACTTCGGAGACTGAGGTGGGAGGATCACTTGAACATGGGAGGTTGAGGCTGCAGTGAGCTGAAATCATGCTACTGCACTCCAGCCTGGGTGACAGAGTGAGACCCTGTCTCAAAAAAAAAGAAATATTCTGTGTGTTTCATACTGAATCTCTGTGAAGGTATCTTTATTGGGAAGTACTGATACCAACCTACAGCTTGTTGGATTTTATAGATGTTATTTAGTTTCTTGGTGTCTACTCTTTCCAACCTAAACAGTTGGAACAAGTTTTTAATAAGACATACCAGTGATTCACAGCTTTCTCATAGTAAGATTTATGATCTCCTTGACTTTTTTTCCTCTCTACAGGTGACAGTTAACACCAATATGATTGATTTAAATGACTACTTACAGCACATATTAAAGTCAACCAATATGAAATGCCTGACTCCAGAAAAGGTAAAATTTGACTAGGAAATTCTGAAATCTGATGGAATGGTAGAGTAGGTTCCTGGCCTTCCTGTATTTCCTCTAGCACATTTTTGTTATTCAACATGCAGTGCCATTCTGGGGTGTCTAAAAGAGGTTATCCCATGGAATGTTTGAGTCTGCTTACCTCTTTCTATTGGAATATGCCATCCTAGTGCAGTGACCCAACCGAATAGTCAGATTAATTTTTTTTTTTCTTTTCAGTCTTCTCCCCCATTCAGCTAGAGGCACATTCTATAATAGTTTATGCTGCGCATGGTGGCTCATTCCTGTGATCCTAGCACTTTGGGAGGCTGAGGCGGGCAGATCACCTGAGGTCACGAGTTTGAGACCAGCCTGGCCAATATGGTGAAACCCCGTCTCTACTAAAAATACAAAAATTACCCAGGCGGGATGCTGTGTGCCTGTAATCCCAGCTACTTGGGAGATTGAGGCAGGAGAATCACCTGAACCCCAGGGGGTGGAGGTTGCAGTGAGCCGCGATCGCACCACTGCATTCCAACGTGGGCGACAGAGTGAAACTCTCTCAAAAAGATAAATTAAATAAAATCGTTTATTTGTAATACTGGATTAGAAAATGTCCATGAGCTCTTCCGTGGGCTCTGATTGTTGGTTAAAATATATGTGCTCTAATACTTTTTGCTATGTTTGTGTGTGTATGAGAAAAACTAGAAAAAAAAATGAAGCTGGAGCGCTAAGGAACTTTTTTTCTTTATGTAAAATTTCTATAATGTTATAATATTCATTTTATAAATAAAATAATGTCTGCTACCAAACAGGTAAGTTTTAATTTATATATTACTTTATTTAGCATATACTGAGTCCAACAAAAGTAGTCCCTTCCTTCATGGCACTTAAGGTCTGATATGGGTGGCAGTCAAGCACGTTAAGTAAACAGAATATATAAATACAAATCAGAATAAGAACTATTTAACGTCAGATTTACTGAGGTATAATACACAGTAAAATTCACACTTTTTACCTGTATAGTTGAGTTTTGACAAACTCATAAGATTGTGTAACCACCACCACTTAAGTACTGTTTTAAGTGATAAATAACCTGTGGGGCCAGGTGTGGTGGCTCACATCTGTAATTCCAGCATTTTGGGAGGCCTAGGTGGGCAGATCACTTGAGGTCAGGAGTTCAAGACCAGCATGGCCAAGGTGAAACCCAGTCTCTACTAAAAATACAAACATTAGCCAGGTGTGGTGGTGCACGCCTGTAATCTCAGCTACTCGGGAGGGTGAGGCAGGAGAATCGCTTGAACCTAGGAGGGGGAGGTTGCAATGAGCTGAGATCATGCCACTCCACTCTAGCTCCAGCCTGGGCAACAAAGTGAGACTCTGTCTCAAGAAAAAAAAAAAAAAAAATCGTCTATGCTGTTTTGCCTCTATGTAGGTATCTGGTAATGAATTTATCACAATTTTTTTTCCAGGCCCTTTCTGGTTATTGTGGCTTTATGGCAGCCAACCTTTATGCTCGTTCCATATTTGGTGAAGATGCACTTGCAAATGTCAGCATTGAGAAGCCAATTCACCAGGGACCAGATGCTGCTGTTACCGGCCATATAAGAATTCGTGCAAAGAGTCAGGTAACAATTCCTTTTTTTTGAGAGCATCTCTGGACTGACAAGGGGGGAGGAATTTATGACTTTATTATTTCTATATGTAATATCTTTTTAGCATTACATGCATATACACATATAACAATAATATTATCTGAATAGAAGTATAACTTTTCTCGTTAAAATTTCTCACCTTTTGGGCCCCTCATTCTGGGATATTTGCCTAAAACCAGATTGATTCCTATGGGGTGTTTGTGAAATGGGTTCTCTAGAATTTTTTGAAAGCCAAGGTGTAAATCTAGTGACTAATTAGCCGGGCATGGTAGCGCACAACTGTAATCCCAGCTACTCGGGAGGCTGAGGCAGGAGAATCGCTTGAACCCAGGAGGTGGAGGTTGCAGTGAGCCAAGATCGTGCCATTGCACTCCAGCCTGAGTGACAGAGTAAGACTTCGTCTCAAAAAAAAAAAAAAAAAAATCTAGTGACCGCTTGAAAATCTAGCACTAAAAGGTAATTAACCCAGCAAAGTTTTGGTGAGTCTGTTTGGTACGTCCTTGGTTTTATTGTTGATAATGGTGTCATTGAATCGGGGCTTAATGATATGGAATAACCTACTGATTGTACATAGTTTAAATAATTATAAATATCTTCATTTTTCTTTACAGGGAATGGCCTTAAGTCTTGGAGATAAAATCAACTTGTCACAGAAGAAAACTAGTATATAAAAATAAAAAGTCCTTGAAGCTTTACAGTTAATTTAGTTATGGGCTTACTGGACTCCAACATCTTTTGTACTCTTTCATGCTTATATGTTATATAGAATCTGAGTTCATGCTGAATGCATTTCAGCCAATAATTTATAGCCTTTCCCTTAAATCAAGATTGAGTTTAAAATTATAGTTTGTCTTTTGTCTTAACAGTTCTGAATGCTATCCTCAAAGTATATGTTTCTCTCATGTACCAAGACCTTTTCACAGTACAATAAACAGATCTATTCATACATTTTTGTTATTTTATAAATAAATGATTACATAATTTTAGTTATGTGACAATGGATTTCTTTTAGTTGGGTTATAAATTTCTATTACAAATTTAAATTACTGAGTTGTGAATATATGCAGCTTTATTAAGAGAATTTACAAATTCAATGATATAAAATAAGGTAGGCCTTGATTCACTTAGTTGTTTTTTACTTATTTAATATTCAAACATTGCTCTCCCTAAAAATGCATTATCATGTTTTGAAGGGATTTTCTCTCGAATTTAGCTCCAGGGAGAAGGTATCAAAATAACTTGAGAAAACAGATCGCCCTACAGTTTAAAGAAGTATTATGTACCCTGACTGAAACAGACATACTGTTCTTTTTTTTTTTTTTTTTTTTTTTTTTGAGACAGAGTTTCAATCTTTTTGCCCAGGCTGGAGTGCAACGGTGCGATCTCAGCTCACCGCAACCTCCGCCTCCCGGGTTCAAGCGATTCTCCTGCCTCAGCCTCCCGAGTAGCTGGGATTACAGGCATGTGCCACCATGCCTGGCTAATTTTTGTATTTTTTTAGTAGAGATGGGATTTCTGCATGTTGGTCAGGCTGGTCTTGAACTCCCAACCTCAGGTGATCCACCCGCCTCAGCCTCCCAAAGTGCTGGGATTACAGGCGTGAGCCACCACACCCAGCGGACATACTGTTCTTAATTATCCTGAATCACAATGAAGAGTAGAGATAATCCAAAATAGATTTTTTAATCATTCACACTTAGTTTGGGGTGTGTTTGTTAGGAATTAAACTGGTTCTAACCAATTACTGAAGCTGGTACTGGGAGGATTCAACTAGAGAGGATTCAAAAAGCTGCCTTTTTCTCTTTGCCTCTGTGCCTTACTCATTCCTCTCCTTTTGCTCACTTCACACTAGGGCTGGGTACCATCACACTGCAGTATAATTCCAAATGCATTTGCAAGCTAAGTTTCCCGGAGTCTGATTGTGCTTTCCTTTTGGCCTTTACCTTCATTGGAGGTGATTGAGGTAGTCTGATTTTTTAGCTGAGTCTACACCTAAGACTATTACTTGTCTACCAGCTAGGCTTCAGGCTGCATTCCCTATGAGTCCTTAGATAAGGCCTGTGAAAAACTGAAAGCAGCATCTCCTATTTCAATAAGAATGAAATGATTGGTTTGGAGTATAAAGAGATTGATACCTTGTATGATGTCATAAACTGTGAAGCCACTTGCTTCTAAAAAAAAGAGAAAAAAAGCCTAGAAGATTACAGGGCATTTGAGGTTCCAGAGCACTGAGATCTTAGAAAAAAGCCAGGGCCTATCAAATGGGAAAGATATACTGGAAATGCAGAGAAGGGATGTCGATTCAAGGGTAGAGATTTGCAATGAGAGCAAAGGAGCCGGTGCAACTTTGTTTGAATTAGATCATAATTTCCCAAACTCTGTTTTACTGAACATTAGCTTCCTTAGATGTCATTAGATATTCTGAGTGAAAAAGTAATTCCATAGTCAAATAAGTTGGGGAAAAGCTTCAAACTGTCCTGCACTGGAGATTCATGATGCACATTAGCATACCAGAGATTCTGAGAGGAAAGCAGATCAGTTTGGTTTAACCCAGTATATCCTAACCTTACTTTACCAGGGAATCCTTTTTCCATGACCTATTGGCAATACATGGGACAGGAAAATTGACTTAGTGTGTTCATGATATTAGTGTTGTAATCCCAGTCAACCAGTATCACATTTCAAATCTGAAGGAATTATGCCTGTGTACATCCTAGAATATATCTCTGTTGATACTGTTAGAAAGTTGCCTGCCTGACATATTCAGGCCATTTTTGTGGGAATCAGATTGCCTCACATTGCTATTTTCTTAAATTTATAAATAAGGAGAACAAAGAGAAGTTAACACAGTTGTCAGATACATTAAACTGTTTACTTCATTAGCATTTCATTAGCTTTGTGCATGTAATGTGAACTGAACTGGATAGCACATTGTTGAGAGAAGCTGTTTACGCCCTATTATTTAGGATATACATTCAAGAGTAGTAGCTGTTCACATTATAAGACACCATATAGTTAGGACCATGATGTCTGGTAAGGGAATAAACATTGTTCAATACCAAATGAAAGCTTAATATATTAATGTATTGAATGTGGATAAACCTGTAAAACTTACAATGTAAATGGCTTACATTGCACTGTCACAACACTAGAGGGAGCTCTATGCATGATTTTTCATTTTACAATTAGAAGTGATTGGCACTTTGAGTTGTTTTGTAAGAAGAAAAAGGGCCAAGTGTGGTGACTGGCGCCTGTAATCCCAACACTTTGGGAGGCCAAGGCCGGAGGGTGGATTGAGGCCAGGAATTCAAAACCAACCTGGGCAACATAGTTGAGGCCCTGTCTCTACAAAAAAAATTTACAAATTAACCTGGTATGGTGGCATGTGCCTGAGAGGCCGAATCAGGAGAAATTCTCGGGACCAGAAGTTCAAGGCTGCAGTGAGCTATGATTGTGGCACCGTAGTCCATCCTGGGTGACAGGGTGAGACGCCCTGTCTTTTAAAACAAATTTCAATTTTTTTTTTAAAGGAGCCTGAACATGGTGGTTTATGCCTGTAATCTCAACACTTTGGGAGGCCAAGGTGGGAGGATCACTTGCGCCCAGGAGTTCAAGACCAGCCTGGGCAACAAAGAGATCCCCCCATCCAAAAAAAAAAATTAAGAAAAAGCAAGATGATTTTTCTTTTTTTTAACTTTCGTTTTCCTTTGAGACCGAGTCTGGCTCTGTCACCAGGCTGGAGTGCAGTGGCACAATCTCGGCTCACTGCAGCCTCCCTGGTTCAAGCAATTGTCCTGCCTCAGCCTCCCGAGTAGCTGGGACTACAGGCGTGTGCCACCACGTCCAGCTAATTTTTATATACACACACACACACACACACACACACACACACACATATATATTTTTTTTGTGTGGTTTTCTTTTTAATTATCTTTAGTCTTGTGATCACACATAATTTTAAAATTTGTGTGTATCTCCGCTACTTTAATCCTTTTAAGTTGACAAAAGCACCATTCCCAATCACAAATACACAGTTCTACAGTTTTATGTTTCTGAATGGCTGTTTAAAGACAATCCTAAATTATAACTTAGTTTGACTTAGACTGTAAAGAATTCAAGAGTGAAGTTTAACTTGCTACTATTTTAAAAGCATATGACCTTAATAGATTTATAAGATGTGAGAAGTGTTGAATAATCTTTAATATTACACATAAACCATACTAAAATGCCTTTCAATAAGTAAAAGGAACCATTTTAAATACAGGGAATTATAATTAGATTGGCATCGTTAAGGCCAAAACTCTAGACATTGCTACCTTATTTATCTTCAACCCTTGCCTTTAAGAGGCAAATGAACACAAAACACAGGTGAATCTTGCTTGGTTCTGAGACAGTGAAGGAATTTCCCCAGTATTTAAATATATTCACATAACCAGCTATATAAATCTAAATATAAAACCAATCTCCAGTAAGTTTTAAGATGGCACTCACCATCTTTGTGAAAAGCTGAACATTACTAATGAAGTCTAATCATATCTTTAGAAAGGGTAAACAGTGATAGCATTTACTGAATTGGAATTACTATTAAAATTCAAAAACTGAACATACTCATTTAACTACAAGCCAGTCGTAGTTTTAAATCAGGACTGCCCAACAAAATATTCTGTCAGTCATTCATGATCTGAATTCTGGTGTATGAGATCTATTAAAGTATGGTACACATAAAAAAATCACGAGACATTGGTTTTGTAATAAACAAGGCAGTGGCCAATTATTACTGATTAGTAGCTTTTTTGAGATAAGCTATCAAGTCTGCCCTTACTTCCTTCTTCTTAATGCCGACAAAGATCATTTTTGTTCCAGGGATGTACTTCTTGGGATTCTCCAAATATTCCATCAGTGTATCCTCTCCCCAGGTGATGCCTTTGTTCTTACTGGCGGCTGTGTAAGAGTATCCACGGGCCTGACCTGTCTTCCTCCCAAAGAGACCATGGAGATTTGGCCCAGTCTTGTGCTTGCCTCCCTTTTCAACAGTGTGGCACTGGGAACACTTCATAATAAAAATCTTCTTGCCTTTCTCAACATCACCCATATTTAATTCTCTTTTTAGTCGCTGGCGCAACGAAGATTCCTGCTCCGAAGCAGGACGTCCCCACTCTCTCATTTTTATATATTATTAGTAGAGACGGGGTTTCACCGTGTTGGCCAGGATAGTCTCAATCTCAACCTCGTGGTCTGCCCACCTCGGCCTCCCAAAATGCTGGATTACAGGTGTGAGACACAGCACCTGGCCTTTTTTTTTTTTTTTTTTTGAGACGGGGTCTGGCAGTGGTGCGATATCGGCTCACTGCAACCTCCACCTCTCTCACCTCATCCTCCCGAGTAGCTGGGACCACAGGCATATGCCATGATGCCCAGCTAATTTTTGTATTTTTTGTAGAGAGAGTTTTGCCATGTTGCCCAGGCTAGTCTCAAGCTCCTGAGCTCAAGCAATCCATCCACATTGGCCTCCCAAAGTTTTGGGATTACAAGCGTGAGCTACTGCACCTGGCTATTTTTCTATTTGCAAGGTAATTCATAAATGAGAACAAAGAGAAGGAAGTTAATATAGTTGGCAGATACATCAAGCTCTTTACTTACTAATAGAAAACTTGCTTTTTCTTCTTTTAAAAACAACTTCAGGCCAGGCACGATGGCTTACACCTGTAATCCCAACACTTGGGAGGCTGAGGCAGGCAGATGGCATGAGCCTAGGGGTTTAAGACCAGCCTGGGCAACATGGCAAAACCCTGTCTCGACAAAAAATGCAAAAATTAGCCGGGCATGGTAGCATGCACCTATAGTCCCAGCTACTCAGGAGGCTGAGGTAGGAGGACTGATAAGGCCCAGGAGGTCAAGGCTGTAGTGAACTGTGATCATGCCACTGCATTCCAGCCTGGGCAACAGAGTGAGACCCTGTCTCAGAAAAACAACAACAACAAAATGCCAAG